TTTAATCTTTTAAAGTCCTCTCCAAATATTATTAAGTTAAACCGAAAATGAAATTCCTTTTGCCCAATTGTTCGTGAGCACGGCAGACACTGAGCAGCGCCAGATCGACGTTGCTCTATACCTTACTGTTGAGCGCCAAACAAGGTAGCATCTCCCGTCTTATGTCTTTTGGTGACGCGGCCGGGTTTCGAACGCACGACCTCCCGGTTGTGAGGCGGACGCTCTACTGACTGAGCCAACACCAACATCTGACAGAATTCTACTCAAATACCGAATTCAATATATCAGTGCGAAAGAAAATAATATCAATACCACGAAGTTCCAAGGACAGAGATTTTCATTTTCGCTGGCCTTAATTGGTTGCGCAATATTGAGATACAGCAGAATGATTAGATCGGAGACGGATGACAGCCTTGGTGCAGGGGCGTCGCCAAAGGGGGGGGGGGTGCGACACCCCCCCCCCACCTGTCAGGATATTGTCGGTAAAATTGCGCTGCCGTCGGGAAAAAGAGAAAAGGGGGAGCGGAAAAAAGAGAGGGAAAAAAGAGGGGGGGAAGGAGAGGGAAAAAAGAGAGGGAAAGGGAAAGAAAAGAAAAAAAGAAAAGGAAAAGAAAAGAAAGAAAGGGGAAAAAAAGGAAAGAAAGGAAAAGAAAGGAAAGAAAAGAGAATAAAGAAAGAGAAAAAAGAAAAAGAGGGACGAGAGGAAAGAAAGGAAAAGAAAGAAAAGAAAGAAAAGAAGAAAAAAAAAGAAAAAGAGTGAAAGGGAAACAAAAGAAACGGGGGATGAAAGGGAGGAGAGAGTGGGGAGGTAAGAGTCTGAGAGAGAGGAGAAGTGGGAGTAAAAGAGAGAAGGGGGTAGTTGGGTGGAGTCGTCTCGTCGAGGGAGCAAGAAAGACACGGGTAAATATGTTGCTGTGTCGGGTCAGCTTTGTCGGTATTCTTGCTCGATCCTCGTGTACTATATCAATGCAGAAGTTTGAAGTCGGTGAGATGTATATTGTCGGTCGGCCCACAAGTTTTTTTCCCTACGAACTGTGACTTCTTATCCGCTGTGACGACTTCGAGAGTGACTACAACTACAATACTTGTATTTCTCGTTGTTTCACTTTCCTATAATTTCAGCTAAAGAAATCAGAGGTTAAACATTTTCGGGGAAACTAAATTCAAACAAGGTTTAAGAGTCAACGGTACGACGAATCCTCTTCCTTTCTCTATATTGTGATGAAACGCCAAAAATTCCGCGCTTCGCGCGGAAGGGGAAACTTCATTTAGACGAGTCGAGAACCGTACAACGAATCGACTTCCTTCTCTAATAATTAAAGGAAACGTCAAAGCTTCCGCGCTTCGCGCGAGAGGGAAAAATGAATACAGACAAAATTAATAGGGCTTATTTAGAGTCGAAAAACAGTACAACGAATAGCTTTCTTTCTCTAATAATATGAGGAAACGTCAAAGCTCTCGCGCTAAGCGCGAAGGGGGGAAAACTAAATTCAGATGAATAGGGCTCATTAAGAGTCGAAAACGGTACGACGAATCGACTTCTTTCTCTAATAATTTAATGAAACGTCAAAACTTCCGCGCTTCGCGCGGAGGGGGAAGCTTCATTCAGATAAGGATTAAGAGTCGAGAACAGTACATTGAATCGTCTGCTTTTTCTCATAATTTAATGAAACTTCAAAGCTTCCGCGCATCGCGCGAGAATTGGAAATCGAATTCAGACAAATAGGGCTTATTAAAAGTCAAAAACGGTACAACGAATCGTGTTCTTTCTCTAATAATTTGAGGAAACGTCAAAGCTTTCGCGCGGGAGGAGAAACCGAATTAAGATGAATAGGGCTTAATAAGATTCGAAAACAGTACAACGAATCGTCTTCTTTCTCTAATAACTTAAGGAAACGTCAAAGCTTCCGCGCTTCGCGAGAGAGGGGGAAACTGAATACAGACAAAATTAATAAGGCTTATTTAGAGTCGATAAACGGTACAACGAATCGTGTTCTTTCTCTAATAATTTAAGGAAACGTCAAAGCTTTCGCGCTTCGCGCGGGAGGAGAAACCGAATTCAGATGAAAAGGGCTTAATAAGATTCGAAAACAGTACAACGAATCGTCTTCTTTCTCTAATAACTTAAGGAAACGTCAAAGATTCTGCGCTTCGCGAGAGAGGGGGGAACTGAATACAGACAAAATTAATAAGGCTAATTTAGAGTCGAAAAACGGTACAACGAATCGTGTTCTTTCTCTATTAATTTGAGGAAACGTCAAAGCTTTCGCGCGAGAGGGGAAAACTGAATTCAGATGAATAGGGCTTAATTAGAGTCGAAAAGGGTACGATGAATCGTCTTCCTTTCTCTATATTGTGATGAAAAGCCAAAAATTCCGCGCTTCGCGCGTAAGGGCAAAACTTCATTTAGACGTGTCGAGAACGGTACAACGAATCGTCTTCTTTATCTAATAATTTAAGGAAACGTCAAAGCTTCCGCGCTTCGCGAGAGAGGGGAAATCTGAATTCAGACAAAATTAATAGGGCTTATTTAGAGTCGAAAACGGTACAACGGATCGTGTTCTTTCTCTAATAATATGAGGAAGCGTCAAAGTTTTCGTGCTACGCGCGAGAGGGGGAAACTGAATTCAGATGAATAGGGCTTATTAAGAGTCGAAAACGGTACGACGAATAATCTTCTTTCTCTAATAATTTCATGTAACGTCAAAATTTCCGCGCTTCGCGCAGGAGGGGGAAGCTTCATTCAGATAAGGATTAAGAGTCGAGAACAGTACACCGAATCGTCTGCTTTTCCTCATAATTTAATGAAACGTCAAAGCTTAAGCGCTTCGCGCGGGAGGGGGAGAAACTGAATTAAGATGAATAGGGCTTATTAAGAGTCGAAAACGGTACAGCAAATCGTCTTTTTTTAATAATAATTTAATTAAACGTCTAAGCTACCGCGCTTCGCGCGGGAGGCCCATCACCCACACCCCCCTAATGAGCGCGCTTTTAAGTGATTCTCTTGCTCACTACCGCCCCTCCCTAAAATAAGATCCTAGCTCCGCGCCTGTATAATAATATATAGCTATGATGCTGACTAAGTTTTATTTTATGCTTTATTCTCTGACACATAGTTTACAAAACGGTCTCATTAAATGGAATGACGTAATAATGCCTCCTCGTGTTATTTTCTGTTTATGTTGTGAGAGGGGTAATTACGAAAAAAAAGTGAGAGAGAGAGAAAGAGAGAGAGGGAGAACCAGGGTGAAGAGATAGACAGGAAGCAGGTATATCAAAGAGAGAGAGAGAGATTGGAGCAAGCCTGTATAGAGGATACGGGAGAGAGAGAGAGAGAGAGAGAGAGAGAAAGAGAAACAGAGAGAAAGAGAGAGGGAGAACCAGGGTGAAGAGATAGACAGGAAGCAGGTATATCAAAGAGAGAGAGAGATTGGAGCAAGCCTGTATAGAGGATACGGGAGAGAGAGAGAGAGAGAGAGAGAGAGAGAAAGAAAGAGAAACAGAGAGAAAGAGAGAGGGGGAGAACCAGGGTGAAGAGATAGACAGGAAGCAGGTATATCAAAGAGAGAGAGAGAGAGAGAGATTGGAGCAAGCCTGTATAGAGGATACGGGAGAGAGAGAGAGAGAGAGAAAGAAAGAGAAACAGAGAGACAGAGGCGGATGACGCGGGGAGATCAATGGTGTTCAGTTCAGTTAAATCAGAGAAAAACAGAAGTTAATTATATTCTGAGATATTTGAGATTCGCATAGACTATAGTATACTATATTTGAAAGAGTAATATTCTTCGTATCATTGATCCGTTTTATTTCAAATTTTCGCCACTCTGTTTCTCTTATTTTTCTGCTTCCATACAAATAAACTTAAAATAATAATTCTGAGATAAACATGCAAATATTTTATTTCTTTTCTAACTGTTTCTCGGACATTGTATTTACGATAATTTATTTGAGCGGCATGATTTATGCATTGAATGAAATCAATAAAAGAACATTTGAAGGAAAAATACAAAAAACGAAGGCAATTCCAATACCCCTGTGCGTCACCTACTGAAATACACGAATATAATAATGAATAATGAAGGAAATTGTTGGAGTGAAATTACAGCTGGTTTCTTGGCAGTATTTGCGATGATTTTCTCTCTTCTCATATACTATTGTTACTGATGATGTCCTATCGATAAGCCACTAAGGTTCTGATAATTAAGGATGCTTTACCTGACAAAACTTATCTCAGTCACTCAATTTCTTTATTTGTTAACATTTATTTCCTTCTCAACAGTACAATATGAAACACGATGTATATATAAATTATATATGTAACAAGGATTTCAACATAGAGTATACAGTAAATAATTCAGGAAACAGAAGGAGGCGAAAACCCGAAAAGCATAGCTTGAGTTGGGAACGCCCATGATAAGTTATTCATTAAAAACCTTGATGAAAAGATATCTAATATCCAAATATTCATTGACATGATATGGGTTTCAACAATTTTATGCAATTGTGGTTTATAATATGAATTAATTTAAGATGACCAGTTCATGAACGAAACAAAAAAGAACAATTACCCCACCTGGACACACTTGCAATATTTGTTTTGTTTTATTTTCCTTCTTCCAACTTTTTATTTAGATACTTTCGGAAACAAATTCTTTATACGAAACACTCTATTTGATTTCCCTACTCGTATAACATCTGCATGTGCCGACCTCTCCCATCCCCGGCTGCGTCATTTTTTCTGCGGCACAGATTGGGGCTTTTTTTAAAGAAGAGGTCTTGATTTAACCCTAACCCTAACCCTAAACTTTCCCATAGACTCAACACGCACCTAACCCCAATCTGTGCCGCAGAAAAAAATAACGCTCCCCGGCCACTATCGACTCAAGCATTTGGTAAATCAATAATATTAAAACTATTGTTGCACATAAGCGCATTAATCTTTTGACACAAACCGCATATCTGCATACTTGAAATAAAGAATCAACTTGAAAAAGACTAGGTCAATTGTTAAAAGCATTTATTACAATATCATTCTTTAATTAAAGAACGAGATGATTGAAAGACATGAACATTTCATCCTCTCTTCTGCGACACTGTTCGATCAACACATGGAAATAAGATCTATAAACTAGCCCGTGGCATATACTACTGTACTACGAATGTATGCAAGTAAAGGTTATGACTTCTAATACGTCCTTAACATGTTGCAGGCCTACAGTCTCGCAATTTGGAACTTGTGTTACGTTTTAGTTTCTTAATTAACAATTCTTGTTTGATATTATCTGTATGATAGTTCAGCTAACGGAAAGCTTCGTCAAACCTGGTATATGCACTTACCAACTCAATCTCCTAATAGAGTTATTATGATGTTAAAACAACAATTATGCAATTTGCTTTCCGGGAGCGTCTCTTTGTGCCATTACATTTCGCTTAGCTGCATTTACAGGCGACACGACGAAACAGCGGCGTTTGCATTAATGTATGATGACGTAAAGTGTATTACGCGCATACGCACATCAACTTGGCAAGTGCCAAGTCGAAACCAGTTAAAACCAGTTTGCAACTGACACTAGTTGAAACCAATATTTTAAACTGTTTTTTAATATAGACATTGAAACGCCGCTAAATGGGACCAGTTGAAAACCCAGTTGAAAAACCCGTTGACATCTGAGACCAGTTTATATTTCTAGTTGATTTACCATTTAAAAACCACTAGATTTACAAGTTGATATACTAGTTGATTATCCAGTAGAGACCAGTAATCAACTGATAATCTATATAGTTAGTAATCAATAATGGCATCTGGCCACCAACTTTGTTTGCGATGGCCTACAACGCCATGTAATTACCAAGCCTTTATGCGTGACAACTGACGTGCTTCCTTTTAGAGTTAGAGTTCTGACCGCATCTGCAAACTCAGTTCATTCGTCTTAGTTGAAGGTAAAGCCTAGTCATCAATAAGCCATACCTTGAATTCCTTGAATTTCGAAACCTTTCCGACCGATCTCCCTAAATGGTTCCCATGCGCTATATACACACGATCAGCAAACTGATCATGCCATGTCCAATTGAAAAACTGTTTCCCAATCGGAAATTCGTAATAATCGAAATATTTGATACCCAAATTTCGTTTATTCGCCGCCAGAATAAAAGACAACGCTACTTGGTCCGTTTCCACTTTGCCCCCATAATAGGCTAGTCTTTCGATCCAGTCGTAAACCATCTTAATCACAACTGAGGTAGATTTCATGTAGAAGAAACACGGGCAAGGGAAACGCGCCTGCTTTCCCTGTGCGAGCCATATGTCGTACTTATCATATTCGTCGAGTACTAGCTTGACGGGGTCTTTAAACCAAACCGCGTCGATGTCAACGAGTAGTACGTCATATCCGGACTGAAGGATTGAAAGGATGTAGACGGTTCGTCGGCGAATCAGTTGCTGGTACGTGGAGATGTTTTTGGCGAGTTTTCCGGGCAATGCGAACTGGGTGGATAGAACGGTTCGAAACCTCTCAGTGGTTCGCTCGAAGAAATATCTATGAAAATAAAGACAAATCTTTGTTCTCTTGGTGATTTTTAAGGCAGTGTATACTGTATTTTACGTATGATCGCTACCGGTTCCAAAGCAGCTATCTCTCTCATCATTTTTATGAAATATTGAATTCTATATATCCCTAGGTTCGCCACGAAATGGCATACCATGTAATAGTTCTGGTCATTGCATAACAAAGCTAATTATAATGCATTATATACCTTATGAATTTGATAAAGAGGTAAGAGAACACGTAAATGTTGGGATGTAGGCCTACCTTATTTCATAAGTATATATATCATATTATTATTCGTTTGTATAAAATGATGGTTTATAACATGATTTTTACTAATGACCGGTTAATAGTATTCTCTGGAATTCATTGATTCTACTCACTTGTGCGATTCCTCATCCTCTGCCATTAGTAGTACGTCATAGGATAGCCCGAGTCGTCGTATGCTCTCGCGCCAATTCTCCGCCAGGTCTATGAAGTTTTTATCTGTAGCTGTGAGGATGACGAACGGTGGGGGCGTGTCGTAGGTGAACTGTTGGCTGTCTGTCCGGAAAATCTGTTGCCATGAAAGAGAATGAAGATGATAAAGGGTGGTATTCTCGAAAGCGGACTAACTTTAATCCATGGTTTAATCCATCGACTAAGTATGGAATGCTTATTGTCCATATGAATATTTGTTTGAATAATTTAATCTGTCACTAAATTAAAGTAAACTGTAATAACATTATTAATAAACAACAATATAACTATGATATAATTATGTTATGGGTGAAACAAATACTTGGTAAACAGCGGACAATGCACAACATTGAGAATATAGACCCCTTAAATATCAAGCCGAGATAGAGTGTACAAAAGGCATGGGCAAAATCATGCAAATGCAATCTCTTGTCGATAAATTTATACAAAATGTATATATATATATATATGATATGCTGTGTGTTAAATATCTTCAAAATCAACGAAGGATAGTTAAGTATACCTCAAAATTGCAAACATTTGAACAAAAAGATATATCCACAGAATTATTTTGGTAAGCAGATTGATTCACCCTCTACATTTGCACGCACATCCACGCAATGGGGCTATTGGCTGTTTTTCAAGTATTTGCCAGGGACCCGTTTCACAAAGCCTTTTTTCAATGACAAATGACAAAAATCAGTGACAAATCTGCTGATAACCAATCAGAAGCAAGGATTTCAGTAGCTTATAACACAAACGTTCTGTGAAACGCCCCCCTGTCCTCGGTTTTCCGAAGTTGTGTCCGACTGTTCACGCTTCGTATTGACCTTACCTGGAAAAGACCCGGAAGTACATTCTCCGAGAGGGCCTCCTTGAGTTCGGCCATTTTGCTTGGTACAGGTATCATGGGCTCTCTGTGTACAGACGAGACGTTAAAGCCGAGTTTTCTGAACTTGTTTATTGCATTTAGGTCGATTGATGGCCGCTTGAACTTCGGTCTCTCGGGTACTTCTACTTCCGGGTGGTGGTGAGGGCGGTGTTTATGTCGACCATTGCCACGTATAACGATGCCTAAAAGCAAGTGGGGAAAACAAAATCAAAATTGATGAGAATTTTCATTATATTTTGTTTGTTATCCGTTCACTGTCATCATGTGAAATAGGGAATTTTTCTCCCTTCCAGCCGAGGGAAAATTGTTTAAAAAAATCAAGCAATAGAGTGCAAGGATGCTGGTTCCAAACAACTTTGTGCTTAAATGGTATTGTGATCACACCAGCCCCCCCCCCCCCCCCCCCCAAAAAAAAAAAAAAAAAAAAACTGGATTTGCCCTGCTCCAGCCGTGGCTTGAATGGTATCGCAGTGAACCTCATGTACAGGTTCTTTTTGCTTAGAACCAGTAATCTTGACGACGAGGTGATATTATATAAGACATCTAATGTACAATTCTAACAACGTTCCACTATATCAGGGAGATGTTTTTTACCCTGACTATATTAAGTTAATCACTATTTCGTATTATGGTAGCCTTTAGGCCCTCAGGAAGAACAACATTAATACTGATGAGGCTGCCATGGGTGAACGAGACATACCATTAGCATTGTTATTATTATTACCATAATCATCATTATTCTTAACATCAATATTATTCGTATTAAGAACGAAAAGAGAAATGGAGAGAGAGAGAGAGAGAGAGAGAGAGAGAGAGAAGGTGGAGGATGTGGGGGAGACTGAACCATATTCAAATGCAAGAGTAACATTGCCAGTAAATCAATCATTCGCATGTATTCGGTTTTCATATCAATGCCACCACTTTGCAAATCGGATCAGACATTATCTACCTTTCATTGCAGCTAATAGTTAGCTATTCTCTCTATATATCTTCCTTTAATCTAAGAGGATTTTATAAGACTGGTACCCACTGTCCAGTCATGTATTCATTATCGTTTCATGCTGACTCTAAAGCTTATTGGGGGGGGGGGGGGTCTAGGGATCATCACTTTTTCTCCTCAATTTGTTTTTGATTTACTTAAATCGGGCTACTTAAAAGGGACTCACCATATAAGGCTAATTTATTGAAGGTTTAACAGTAATAATTATCAGCTTGAAATTCCAGTCTTCCCTAAGACAACAATAACAACAATAACTTCGATGGTGAGTATGATGATGATTATGATGATCATGATTATTATAATGATGGTGGTGAGTATGCTGCTGCTGATGATGATACCAATATGTTCGTGTAGAGGTGTCGTGGTCTATAGTGGATAAGTCGAGTCTCACCTCGGCACTAATGTCCATCGGAAAAGAAAAACAAATCTACATTGGACATAATCAACCCAGGTCAGATAAATGGGTTAAAAAGCTAAAGCGCCATAATGTCAGCAATGCTAAATCCGGTTTATCGAAAGCCCTTGAAATCACATCGAGACACCCGGAAGTTGGCCCATATCAAAGCAATCAGCACTTCCATACATGTTTTCAAATTCTACTTTACCTATTTAAATTAAAATATTCTTACCATATCACTATTTTGCAAGTGGCGCACAGTTTATAACGGGTTTAGGCGTAGTAAAAACACCATTTCTACCTAGCTTATCCAGATAAATCGCTTTAAACTAAGGACCATAAGTTATTCGACACGGTTTCTATGCTTAACAGTAAGCTCAAGCATTACGATAATCCGATTATGTCAGGTATACTGTCTTTGTTGAATGTCTGTCATTCACGTATCAATGAGCGACACATGTACTAATACGTTTAGGTTTACAACAGCTATGGCATACATAATGGGAATTTCTTTGTTGTTAATATTACAGAACTATTATATTCCCCATTTCCTTTCGCGTAATCAAACTATCTATGTATCTATCCATTTTATGCCTTTGAAGTTTGTATTTTTGGGCTTAAAGATAAACTTGAGTTCTGGTAATGCGATTGCATTGTGAAAGAAAAGGTGTGGAATGGATCAGAAAAGTTGATCATATAGCATGTAAGTAATGGTGTGTAATGCAAAGTTCTGGAGTCATCAAAATCATCATAAATTTGGCAGAGCCTTGGTAAAGTAACAATCACTTACACAGAAAGATGTATATGGGACAACACACATGGTGTCGGGGCTAGTACTAACCTGATTTCCTTATCTTTCTATGCTCATTACTCAGCCAGTATACATTTTCTTCCAAAATTGTTTGGCACATGACATTTATTTGTAATCTTGAACATTCAGTGTAAGTTTCGTTAGATTCTGTGAGAATTCATTTTCTTTTTTTTAACCAGAACTCAAGTTTATCTTTAAGTGCTTTTTGATATAATTATGCAAGACAGTGCCAAAAAAGGCAGTTGAATCTAATTTGTTTTTATCTGAATGCAACTCTCACCTTTCCCTTCTCCCTCTCTCTTTCTCTCCCTCTCTCTCTCTCTCTCTCTCTCTCTCTCTTCTCTTTCGTTGTGTTGGCCTTCCGCTTTCTACTATGCATTTTTGACATATGAAGAGTATAATTCCAGAAGGAGCTACATTCATTTTTGTTACTTCAGAAAACAAGAAATTGTTTACCAGATTGTGTACAGGGGTCTAAGAAAAAAGGATATTATAAGGAGCATGTTTTATTATTGCTCCCAAAATTTAGGTAAATAAGTTTGTTGAAAGACGGGTACTTATTTAAACAATTATGTTCCCATATCAGTAACTCAATCTTCATCAAAAATGGATTTAGATCCTTTTGGAATTAAGCTCTTCATATGTATATTCATTTTATGGACAATTCGCTAATGATGAGGAAGTCAGCTAAAGCTGTGCTTATGACTCACTTCATGATCATTTTGAAGTAAAATTTTGTTAGGGCTTCAATATCACACAAGATCCCATTTAACACTGTTAAGCGATACCTTTACAGTCACGAAAAAAAAAGAGTATTACCGAGCTCGACACCTTTCCTGGTCGCATCGGAGTACCGGGTAGACAGGACGATCAGGAGTGTGACGACCATCTGGATGATGAGCACCGTGACGAACATCCTTACTGTCAGGAGCCTCCCCGGACATATCAACGACAAGACCGATCGCCTGTTCATTGTACTCGTCGTAGCCCACTCGCGGTCTCGAAAACTGTGAAGAAATTAGGTGAATCTGTCTTATTGGGGGCCTCGATCTCTACAAAGAGCACTTGATGTCTCGAAAACGGTGTTGAATTTAGATGAATCTGTCTTATAGGGGGCCTCGATCTCTACAAAGAGCACTTGATGTCTCGAAAACGGTGTTGAAGTTAGGTGAATCTGTCTTATCGGGGGCCTCGATCTCTACAAAGAGCACTTGATGTCTCGAAAACGGTGTTGAAGTTTAAAAGTAAATTTCGCTTGAAGCAGCAAACATGAAGATTCCTTGGCGTCTGTGAATACTCATAGAGACAACCGCAAGAGGTTTTTCCCGTAGGGATTATTCCAGACTACAAAATATCATCAATTCTGGTCTTCTTCTGCGCCACATACTGAAAGAGCTTCGCAGAACATGGAGCCTAAACATACGTGCGTGTGTACCCATGCCAGAGAGCACATTATAAGTGTGGGGAATCTAACGGACCTCTATACGGAAGGCATGTAGCACGTAGACATGTATAGAGATTCTTCGGTTGTAGGTAATCGATAAAAGTCGATATCTGTAAAGAAAGTTTCAAAGGAGTTTGGGTCTACTGCACTAGACCAGCCGGTCAGCTCTCATTGGAAAGGCCACTGCTATCAAAGTAGGCCTATTTACTTGTTCATTGATCTACGAGGTTTTTCGGAATTACTTTGTATATACCCAACAAGGAAGAAGAAATCAAACAAATAAACAAACCAACAAAAATCATTACAAAAATAATTAACGATTGCACGCGGTTTGAGGAAGACAAAATGAGGCTTACCTGGGTAAAGGCATATGAAACCTTAAGAGTATAGATTATTGAAGTGTGACGTCATACGGGCCAAGTCGCCAAGGTTGCTGGTTCCAAATAATTGTTTGTGTTAAACAATGGAGTGGTGATCGCACCATCCAAAAATAATTGAATTCGCCCTGCTCCAGCCCGTTGCTTGAATGGTTTTGTGGTGAACCTCATGCGCAGGCTCTTTTGTTTAGAACCAGTAACCGGGACCACGAGCGAATATGACGTTAGCAGTTCGGAACTCTATACTCTATCCTAATACCTTTACCCAACTAAGCCTCATTTGTTTTCCTCAAACCGCTTGCAACCGTTATTTTATATTTTAATGATAGCTTGCATACCCCTTTGAAGAAAAGGAATAAGTACTAGAAGGACAGATTAAGAAAAAGTCCCTGGAAGATCTCTCCGCAGTTAAGCTGTAACAATTTGGTTACTAGGCTTAACAATATATATATATATATATATATATATATATATATATATATATATATTGTGTAAATACTTTGTAAATAGTGTAAATAGTTTACTACAACACTTAAGGAATTTTATTTGTCATATACTATATATTTGAAAGTTATTGTAACGATTCATGCTATATTTGCTTATGTTTCATCACCTTTGTGTGTTCATTCTTCAAACTGTATATTAGTTGCAACTTGACTTTGATAAAACATTGTTATATTCTTTTTCAAGTGAAGCCAATTCAAATGGATTGTAAAATTGAAAATGATTTGTTATATTATATTCATTTTTCATGTGATGTTAACTTCAATGAATTGTGAAATTGTAAACATGCATAAATAAATAAATTTATTTAAAAAAAAATCCAACAAAAAAATCAACAAAATCAACAAAATCAACAATCTGGGATAGAGAGCGTTGACAAATGCAAACTGCCCACTTTGAAGATGTTAGGCGAATCCGACAGTGGTATAATACCCTCATTTTCAATTCCTAGGGATCCTCACAAAGGAGAAGAGAAGCTTGTTTTGGTAGTGGTTGGCATTTGGTGGGTTTCGTTGAGGCGACGCGGAAACCTTGATAAATCAAAGTCCGTTTCCTGTCTTGTTACATGTAAAACGAATGTACATGTATTTATTCTTTTCAGAAAATAAAAGGGATGAAATATTTCCTCCCTACAGCCTTGCATTACATGGATTCGTGTTTCGTTCTCCTGGATTCTTCCTCTTCTTCCACTTTTCTTCTACTTTTTCTTTACTCCTACCTTTTTCTTCTTCTTCTACTTTCTCTTTTTCTATGTTTTATTTCTACTTTGTTTTTCTTTTATACTTCTTCTGCTCTTCCATCTTTTTTTCCCATTTCCCCTTTTTTCTTCCTCTTTTCTTTTTTTTCCTTCATCTTCCTCTTCTTCTCCTTGTTATGTTTCCTTTCTTCTTCTTTATTTTTCTTCTTCTTCTTCTTCTTCTTCTTCTTCTTCTTCTTCTTCTTCTCCTTGTTATGTTTCCTTTCTTCTTCTTCTTTATTTTTCTTCTTCTTCTTCTTCTTCTTCTTCTTCTTCTCCTTGTTATGTTTCCTTTCTTCTTCTTTATTTTTCTTCTTCTTCTTCTTCTTCTTCTTCTTCTTCTTCTTCTTCTCTTGTTATGTTTCCTTTCTTCTTCTTCTTTATTTTTTTTCTTCTTCTTCTTCTTCATTATCTTCTTCTTCTTTCTCTTCTTCCTTCTTTTCTCTTTCATCGTGTTACACTTATCCCCATTTCCCTGTACTGAAAATTACTAGGTTGATTCGTGTTATGATTTCGTGAATTCGTAATATCACATCTTATATTTTTGTTCAAACCTGTATTTACTATATTATATTTACTATTCCTCGCTTTTGCTTATTTAATCTAAACAATGAGGAAGAATGCCCTCAATGAAAGGTCAAATTCTCCCGGTTTCAAAATCGATTTTTAACCACACTCTGTGATGACGCACGTTCTTAAAGAACATGGAGATCAATAATCGATTGTGGCCAGTACTGGTTCACTGCCTTGACTGTTGCCGCGTCGCGCGCCCGATCAGCTGAGAAAATAACACGCCCTCAATGCTAAATCGGGGAAAATACTTGCCTTTAATTCTCATCGTCGGGTGTAAGGGAGGAGGACGTACATGATTGAAGAATACATAAAAACAGACAGAATCTGGACTAGCCCAGTAGTTTAACCCTAATAAGGAAGGGGGAGGGGGAGCCCCCTCCCCCACACACACTCCCACCACCATTTTCATAATAATGTATGAGTCCCTGCACTCGATGCAAACAAATGCTTTCTTTTATTGCCGAATTTCAACATGTGAACTTAACCATCTGTTGTGTCTACTAGTGTCTGTCTTTACTTCTCGTTACGCTTTTAACGAGTGCCATTACAAAAGGTGATCCTAAAATCGATGAAGTCATTCTTAACATTGCATCCCTAATATGGAGAGGTGTATAGTATACAAATATACACTGCCTTGAGAGGTTCTGGTTAAAACTATGCGGTGACTCCAATAGTACTATTTGTTGAGGGGCGCAGCCCCGAAGCAAATGGTACTTTTGGAGTCACCGAGGCCCATAGTTTAACCAGTACCTCGAATAGAAGGCATGGTATATTTGTTTTATATCCTGCATGAAAAAAATTATCTAGAAAAAAAAAGACACTTTTGGGGGAAAAAAACATTTAGAACAAAAAAATGTAAATCTTTATCTAAAAAGATTTAAAATATTTTGTTTTCATATTATTGAGATTTGAAAGAAAAAAAAATTGATTCAATTCAATTTTTTTTTCAACTCCCAAATAGTAAACCAAAATAATACTCTCATATAGTACTTTCTAAAAATAGCTCAAATATTTCTGGTCATGTGACGAGCTCTCAACCAATCAAAAGCCAACAATTTTTGATGCAGGATATAATACTTCCTATATATCAGTATAGTAATATAATATATTGTACAGTACACTAGATCTTTTTTCTTATCAACCTTCACAAGCTCTCGAGATTTCGTGGGTTATCCTGTTCAAGCCGACTAATTTTTGATCTGTTATTATTGTATATTGTTGTATGTTGGAAGCTTGTCGAATAAAAAATATAAAAAAATCAAAAAAAAAATCATGTCGCCCAGGGCAGCATTTTACGAGACAGTAATAATTTCAAGTTCGCCGACAACTCGTTGAAATGGATATATTAACATTTATAACTCGTGTTTCAATGGGATGTCGGTGAACTTGTTCTTATGACGGTTTCGTGAAACGAAGCCCTGGTCTCCGCTCATTCAATTAATCTACTCAAATCGTCCCCAAAACGAAATGATCATGGGAAGATACAGCACTTATGTCAAAAACTCCCCGGTTGCGGAACAGACTCCCAGAATCATTGGAAAATCACCCAAATGTAGATCATTTTTAAAGAAAACTAAAAACGCATTCAATGACAGTTCTTTTCTCCTTGATAAGTTGTTCTGTTTCTGTACGAAACATCGATGGCATATTTATTGTTAATACACAATTTAGGGCTATTCGATATATCACATAAAAATGTCCTAAGAGAGTTATGAAGGCTACCGATGAAGGAAACAAAAATTGATGTGCCATACATTTTGAGATTGCCTTAAGGCGACTCTTCGAAAGTAATAGTTTTCGTGTTCTACTTGCTTGACCAACGTCATACACTGTATTTTAACCCGATGACTACTGGATTCCCTCATTCCCATAGGCTTTAACACATGGGCCACCCGGTTCCAGTAGTCAATGTGATATGAATGATAATGTGCTTGTAATCACAACACCTTGCATCTCAATGATAATTAGGTCAACAATCTAAATCTTTTCATTTACCTTTTCAAACTGCAACGTAAATATAATTAAATACAGACTATTTTAGTATTGCATTAATTATCGTGCGTTCATAATCACAAATTCGTTTGGCCTATAGGCGACATGTTTACATGATATAAAATGTCACCTCAGCAGGATGCACTGTATGCAACTGTTATTCTACTTGCTCTAGCATTGTCATGTTATTTACACTTTAATGCGATCTCGTAGCTTATAATGCTTTTTACTGAAATGTTTCAATAACAGAAAGATAACCTTTGCAAACTGCGCTCTATGAAACTGTTCAACTATCTGCTTTGGCGACGTAATATTATTTGGATTGTAATGTGTACATAACATTACAAAACCTAAATCTTATCCATGATGACTTTGTTAAAATCTAAGTCTTATAATTCCTTTTACAAACTTCATTGTAAATAAACTTGTCTACTACTTGCTATACAATGTAGGCTATTATTGGATTACATACAATGAGCCCATAATCACGATTTTCGTAGCTTATTAGTGATATTAGTTATTATTATATTTTTGATCAATGAAATCCTGTGCAGTGATTGGTTAACAAAGCATCATGTGACCAAACATAACATTGCTATGATGTAACCGTGACGTCATCCATGGTATAATACAAAATGTTACCTTCGCAAAATGTACTTTAGAAATGTGTAATACTAATTGCTTTGGCAGTGTTATATTGCATGAAATGTAATGCGTTCTACTAGCTTGTCGTGCTTTTTTGTGACAATTTTAGTACCATTAAACAATATAACATGAATTCTTTTAATGTGTTCATAAGCGCAAAACATCATAGCCATTCAATGATATTTATGTTAAAATATCAGTCTTATAATACCTTTTCAAAATGCAAGGTAGGCCTGAATATAATTTGATATTACTTGATTGGCTGTTTATTAATTATTATACAAATGGTACGATTTATAATCACACTACCTCAGAGCTTAGCAATGATGTTTTCAAATTAAAGGGGCACGTTCCCGCCAGTGTAGTGTAGTAAGAGCCGTATTCTGTTGGTGTCAATAGGCAGCTATAGCACCGTCCGCCAGCGCGTACGTATTTTGAACGCCCTCTGTAATACGGGGAAAATGTCCCTTTAAGGCTATCTTATATCTACCTTCACAAAAAAACTGCGTTGTAAATATATTTTTCAATTACTTGCTTATCAATTGTGATTTACAAAATGCATAATGGGTCCGTAACCACACATCCTTATAGTTTATCAATACTCAAATCTAAAGATAAAGTTGAGTTCTAGCCATGCGTTTGAATTGTGAAAGAAACTGTTTAGAAGCGATTGGAAAAGGTTGATCATGTAACACATATGTATTGGGTATGACATGAGGTTTTGGGGTCCTCAAAATGATAAGATGATAACAAATTTGCCCAGTCTTGCTAAAAACAGCATACCCCTTACACAGAAATGTACACATGGCACTACACTGTGACTTGAGGGTGTTTTCACAACCTCTAGCTGTTAGAGGTCAAAGTATTACAGGCATCGTTTAACAATGTTAAATCTGAGATGCTCGGCCCTACGTGCTATCAGTGTCTGTGATATGGTGTAATATTGAAGCCCTAAACAAATGCGCTTTAAAATGATCAAGAAGTGCCTCAAAAAAGTTAAAATCTTTGAGTGACCGGTTTTACAATACTCATTTTGCCCAATAGACTGTAGTGTTATGAAAACCGTTTGGCAAACAGTTTTCAAAATTTGTAATTCCAATTATAAATATCTTGATAATCAAACAGGCGATCGGCTTGTAAAAGTCATGGGGTTCCCGACTGACATACATGTTTATAATTATCATTGCAGCATGAGCTAATTCCAGAATTTTGGTTCAGAATCTGAGACAAAGTTACCGGATCCCTTTAATATGAAAGGCATTTAAAGAGCAGTCATTTACAAGTGATCTTTTCTGTTTATATGATACTCCCCCGTGCTAACATTTCCCCCTTTTTCAGAACTCAACCTTCAGTATTATCTGTGCAAACTGCAATATAAATATATTATCATGTCAATCGAAATCAAACGTATTCAATCATTGTTTTAAGCCTTATGGTTCAGTTTTCTTGCGGTCATGTAGTGACGTCGTAGGTCATCGGTTACAGCCTTCCGCTTTTTCTGGATATCACCGATGATCGACTGTAAGATGACGATAAGTTCTTTCTTGAGTTCACCGGTCATCATCCTACCACTGCTGTATTCCTGAAAGAGAAAGAATGAGTATTACCGTCATCATCAGCATCCTAATCCTCATTTATACCATCATTATCAGCACCATCATCACCTTCATCTTCATCATGATCATGATCATCATGATCATCATCACCATCATTATCATCATCATCATCATCATCATCACCATCCTCATTACCATTATTATCATCACCATCATCATCTTCATCATTATCATCATCACCATCATCATCACCATCATCATCATCATCACCATCATCATCATCATCGTCATCATCAGCATCCTAATCCTCATTATCACCATCATCATCACCATCATCATCATCATTATCATCATCATCATCACCATCATCATCATCACCATCATCTTCATCATCATCATCATTATCAACATCCTAATCCTCATTACCATCATTATCATCACCATCATCATCTTCATCATCATCATAATTATCATCATCATAATCATCATCTCCATTACCATCATAACCATCATAACCATCATCATCATCATCAGCATCCTAATCCCCTTTACCATCATTATCATTACCTTCATCATCTTCATCATCATCATCATCATCCTAATCCTCATTACCATCATTATTATCACCTTCATCATCTTCATCATCATCAGCATCCTAATCCTCATCATCATCACCATCATCACCATCATCTTCATCATCATCATCATCAGTATCACCATCATCACCATCATCATTATTATCGCCACCATCCCCTTCATCATCATCATAGTCATCATAGTCATCATCATCATCACCTTCATCTTCATCTTCATCATCATCATCATAAACATCATCATCATCACCTTCATCTTCATCATCATCATCACCATCATTGTCATTATCATCATCACCATCATCACCTTCATCATCATCATAATTATCGTCATCATCAGCATCAGTATTTTGAGGACTCCATGGAAGAACAGAACAGAGCCATTAGGTTAATGGCTCTGAAATGGACTATCCAATCATTCTAATATTGTTATATAAGTCTTTGATTTTGTTATATTGTGTTATTGTTTTATATGATGATTTTCGAGAAAAAAACAAGCAAACAAATAATGATCACCATCACCATCATTGCCATCAGCATCAGCATCATCATCATTACCATGGGGGGGGGGGGGGGGGGTGACGTCAAATGTAAACGTACTTTTTTGATGTAGGCCAATCGCTCGTCGTCCTCGAGGAAGAAGCTGAGATATTGATATGAGATGTCGGTTTCACAGTCGCCTCCATTTTCCCGGTGCTCCTTCTCCGTGGCTCCACCTCCCGAGAACGCGTATTTATTGATCTGGAAAATAATAGTAAACAGGAAATAAACGAGCAAACGAAAATTAACGATAACAAGAACAACCTATAATAAAAATCACAATAGTAATAATGCTATTAAAAAGGCCTAGTAGTAATAATGATATGGAAGATAATGATATTAACAGTGACAATGATAATATAAATATGATAATGTAATGCAGGCGCGTACGCAGGGGGGGGGGGGTGGGGTCAACCCACTCAAATTTGTTTGTGTGTGGGTATTGGAGGAACCCCCCTCATTTTTGTAAAAATTAAAACAAAATATAAATAAATAAAATGTATGCTAATGGGTGACCTAAAAAGGTGACCTTACCCCCCCCCCCCAAGCGAAAGAAATGTCGATCGGTCAAATTGTCAAATTTCGGGACATCCCCCCCCCCCCCCCCCCCCCCCCCCCAAAAAAAAAAAAAAAAAAAAAAAAAAAAAAAAAATGTCATGCGTAACTTTACAAACAACTTCATGAAACACCCCCCTCCCTGGGTTGAGATTGGCATGATAAGTTGAATTGCTTTTAGTATTGTTACCTTGTTCTTGATGTCTTCTTGTGAATCGGTGAGAAAGATGGATGATGTTTTATCACTGGCGCTCATCTTGGTCCGAGCTCCCTGAAGCGCTGGGAAGAACGTTGAGTGAATGAGGGCGGGCTTCAAGTAACCCAGCTTCGGTGCTACGTCACGGGTCATCCTAAAGTATGGGTCCTGAACAAAAAGCGATAGCATTAATTATGATGATGATGATGATGGTGGTTATTTTACCTGACTGTTAAGAAAGCATAACTGCTTGTAAGTAAGCAACCAGACGGCCGACGGCTTTGGGTCCTCTCCGAGGGACCTGGTAATGAGGATTAATGCCTTACCAAAGGGCACTAGCGCATCAACTTGGTTTCGAACCCGCGTCACCGGATTACGAGACCACTGCTCTACCGACTGAGCTATCGCGCCTCCTCCTGATTGATTGTACAAAAGTTATTTTGTTTGGTAAAGTGCCAACCGGTCACCATGACAGATTGGCATATTAGGGAAGAGAAAAAATTATATTGGTAAAAGAAGGACCGTTGAAAGTATTTGTATGAACCCTAAAACTATTATGTTGATATCTGTTGTATGGAGGCAAACCGTTAAATTCCTGCTAGCCAAATTTGCACATGCAACCACTATGTCCAGCATTGGAATTTGAATGCAGTAATAACCAGAAGCAGAAACAGAAAAAACCTCCATCCGTATTTAAAGCGAGAGAGCCGTCGGTCTCCATGTGAGGAAGGTCATAACTCGCTGTCATCAGACATGGTGAAAATACTATTATTGGGTGTAGAAGTCTGCACACATGCAGCAAACCCGTAGCCCCGTCAAGAAATACCCTCTGGTCTTTTGGAGAGTCTTTGGGTGAGGACAATCTTAGTGATAATTGGCAACACCTGTTATTGGGTTAACACCCGAATGGTGTAGAATTCCTCGTGAGAGCCCACTACTTTAAATTGTTAAAGCTGCACTGCAACTGGACTACTCAAGAGAACAAAACGACGAAAAGGGAGGTTTATTTATAGTGTGCTAGGCCTCAAACGGTCCTTCAAAAGTGATGAAGATCTTCTATTGTCGATATAAGGGCTAATGATATCTAAGTGTATCAAAATGAAGGAAGTTTAAATATTCGTGTGCATGTTTACTTGATTGAGTTTTGAGTTTAAATGTAGGGTATTTTATCGACGTCGTAACGTGTGAGAGCAACTTCCGGTTCCTGTACCCAAGCATCCTTACAGGGGTATCTCACTGAGCGGAGAATGCTTACGAACGTTGCGAATTTTGGCAGTTGGCGACTATTAGTAACTGTAAGCAAATGTTTGCGACAGTTTTTGCGAAGATTAGCAACTATTTGCCAATCCTTTGCCAATATTTGTGAATGTTTGGGACCTTTTTACGAATCCTGGGATTCCTGGCGAAACCCCAAATTCGCTACGTTCGCAAGGGTTCGCTGCTCAGTGAAATACCCACTTACACGCGCGCCATGCCTTTAGTGATGCAATGTGGGACATGGCCGCCGGCCCATTGGGGCAGTGTGGGAAGCAGATGGCAGTATGCGTATACCTGAATCAGAGCCAACCATAAACATAGTTTGGCCAACCTGGTTTCACTGGGTTACAACATGACGTATATTCTTTTGTTTTGTACTTGCCCAACAAAGCAGCAGTCGCCATTTTGTGTCCATCTCGAACCGGGTTGGCCAGACTCTGTCTTTAGATGCCTCTGACCTGCAGGAGTGTCAGTCGAATTATCCCTTCTTTACCATGCAATGAGAGGGGTTTGGACTATCGTGGAGGTTATTTGGGATTTTAATTGGTGATCAAGTATAATTTACTGCTTGTAAGTATCGGCTTGCATGGTGATGTAGATATACAGTAGGCTTGCAGGTGCACCATGTGAGAGAGAGAAGGAGGTTTGAGGAGTACTGAAAAGGACTCTCAGAAATCTTTCTTGAGGGTGTGTAGTCCTGAAAATGACTGTTGGTATAGTCTTGAAAAGACTGTTGGTTATCAGCTTACAGTTCTAAGGAGAACTAAAGCGCTTGGAGATGATGAGTGGCGGGAGTGGCTCGACGTTTCGAACAGGTTGACTATCCGCCGAATATCCTGACGACGGATAATCAACTTCCGAGAGTCCTTTTCAGGACTCCTCAATCCTCCTTGTCTCTCTCACATGGTGCACCCGCAAGCCTACTGTATATATATCTCACCTGATCAATGGCACATGGGATCAAACCTTCTTCTCTCTCTCACATGGTGCACCCGCAAGCCTACTGTATAAGTATAATTTAGTATCTCACCTGATCAATGGCACATGGGATCAAACAGGGGACGTCTGAAGCGTCCCCGAATATCTCAGGGAACGAGTTGCTGAAGGATGGTGTCGCCTGAATCGCTGGGAAGCTGATCTTGCCTAAGAAAAACGAAATGCAATGATATGATTTCAAGTTCAAGTTCAAATTTATTTATTTCACTTTATCAAAGATAACATAATTGAACATAATGAACAATGGTAATTATTATAACTAAACATACAATATAGAAAACATAATGTACATGATAATAGTTATAACAGAGAATACAATTATATAAATCAATCAATAAAGTGGGGGATCTACTAAAAAGCAAAGCTTGTATTAGGTCCCGGTTCATAGGTTTTTATATATAAATTAGGGTATCTGAATTAACATATTTACAAAAGCATATGATTTCCCGAGGATTATCTTTAAGTGACGCATATTACTAAACATATCGTAAACAATTGAGAAAAAGGAAGAGTTCTGTGCTTTCCTCAGCATAAACAAATATATGTATATACATTAAATAAAATAGTAATAATTATGATGATGATGATAATATTTATTAGATTAATGCTATGATACTAATAATAACGTAATAATGATTATAATGATAATAATAACAACAATGATACCCAAGCAAGCCGCATAAGTACCAATAATGTTTTTTTTTTTGAGGACCTGGAATTATTATTATTATCCAGCACAAGACTGAAAAGTCAATCCTGGTGATTTGCAATACTAGTTATTCATGAATACCCGAATGGTGTCTGATCCCGCACGAGAGCCCATTATATCGTAAAGCTTATCTGCTCTACTTTGTCCAGGAGGGTTTAGACCACACAGCGGGGTCACTGACAGGTGGCTATCTCATCAACTCAGCTCTCAAATAACATAAGAAATAGGGGATCATGGGGGCCAACAGACATAGATGTGGGACGTTTTCTATATAGAGGGAGCAAGTAGCTATAAGCAGTACAATAGGCCCTTTAAAGCCCCACTGCACTACGTATAGCTACTTGCGCCCTCTATATAGCAAACAATTCCTAATCGGTGCCTGTTGGTCCCCCATGATCCTCTTTTTCTTATATTAATTGAGAGCTGATTTGATGAGATAACCACCTGTCAGTGACCTTGCAGGGAAGTCTAATCCCCATGGCCAAACTAGTACAGACGGGCTTTGAAGAGGCCTAGATAGATTAATTTGATGAAGGAAAACACAATCTCTGTTAATATTTACCAATGGCATCACTTTCGTTGAATCCGAAGATCCCTCGGACCTGATTGAAGGTCACCAACTTCTCGACCTTTAACATGTTCTTATAGAAAGCAGGAGAGGACCTAGGGCAAAGACAACATGTCAAACGTCAAAGGTCAAAGAAAAGGTTTATTGTCCGGGCAGCGGTTTTAAGCGCACCCTTCAAATCAATAAATAGTACTAAACAATTTTAAGGAGTGTGTCATGGGAAATACTGGTTAACGCCATCTACGTTTTCTTTTGGACAACTGCACGTAAACGAATAAACCTGATTAACTGGGTCAGCGCGCTAGCGTTCGCGAAACAGACCGAAGTTCTCCTCGCGCTTCGGTTTCGCGTATATTGCACGGACGTGAATGCTGCGGTCGCGTCGTCCGTATAGTCGTATTAGGGACTTTTAGAATTGTCGAACGACAACGTGGATTGCTACGATCGACGTACTTGTAATGCACTGCCTTGAATGGACGTCTCACGTATCAGTCCACGCAAATCTAAAAGTCCCTATTATACCCGATTGGCCCCGAGTAGGCCCACGGGAAAGACACATAGTCTCGTCATGACACACTCCCTTTTAAGTAATAACATCACAAACAACAACATTAACAATAATAACGATACTAATGATATTAATGTAAATAATGATGATGACGATTAGGATAAAACTATGAAGAGGAAACAAAATTAGAAGAAAGAGAAAAGAAGATGAAGAACAAAAATTGAAGGAGATAAGAAAAAGAGAGAGAAGAAAAAAAAAGATAGGGGCTAAAAACAAAGTTGAATGCGAAGATATAAAATACCACACATTTTTACAAGAAATATATAATAATATACTATTAAAAACAAAACGAGGACGGGGAAGAAGTAGCAGAAAGAGAAAGAGGAAGAAACTTGAACCTCTCCATGACACTTGTACTTACGTGATGTAGTCAATGTTCGAGAAGATGAAGGTCTTATCCTTATGAAACCCACAGGAAATGATATCCTTGGCGTTCTGGTAGGCGAGCTCCTGGGCGACGTCGGGTGTTTCTAACTCTCTCCACAGAAACTTCTCATCGTCAGTCATCTGGACAACGAGGGGGACGTCGAAAACATCTTGCAGCCACCTGCATTTATGTAATGGCAATTTTGGAGGTTATATTATTCATAGGGCGACATATCATTTAGTGTCTTAATACCAAAGAGTTTTAACAGAAAAGAATATAACAAAGAAGACAAAACAACCAATTCCTCCCCACCCCTAAAACACAAAATAAAACAAATCAAAACAAAATTACATAATAACATGAAAAGACAAAGACAAGAAAATGTTATATTAGCAACGGACTATCAAATAAAAGGAAATACTAGATATGCCCCCCTCTCTCTCTCTCTCTCCCTCTCCCTATCTCTCTCTCTCTCTCTCTCTATCTCCTTCCTTCTCTCTCTCTTTCTCTCCCTCCATCTCTCTCTCTCTCTCTCTCTCCCTCTCCCTATCTCTCTCTCTCTATCTCCTCTCCTTCCTTCTCTCTCTCTCTCATTCTCTCCCTCCATCTCTCTCTCCCTCCAGAGGATGACTGTATCAAGTACATGAATCAAGATTATGCGGCACAGTGTAACCCATACGGTCGCATACTCACTTGGTGAAGATGAAAGGAATGAGATGGCCGACATGCATCGACGATGAAGAGGGCCCTCTACCGGTGTAAAGGAAGAAAGGTTTCTTCGCTTCGTACAAATCCAGAATGAGATTCAGCTCCCTTGAACAAAAGCATAGAATTGAAAACTCGTTATGAATGTTACGAACCATTTAAATGCTAAATAAAAATGAGTATAACGAAAATATTATTTTTTCTACAGCTAAAATGTATTCAATCATCTTTAAAAAAAACTTCGCCTTGCTGTTTATGGGCTAACGGACGAGGAGTATAAAGAAAAGAGAGAATTACATAAAACCGCGCGCGCGGAACCCAGGTGGAACAACCAATGTCCAACCTGGGTTCCGTGATGGCCATGTTTTAGGCAAGTGCGTACATTTTAACTTATCCAACAAAGGCCCTAATACTCGACACGTCAACTTTACATTCTTGAGTTACGAAAAGTAACACCCCCCAAGTAAACAACAAAAACAACAAAAAATCAGTAAATAAGTCAACCGTGAATCTTTTATTTGTACATAATTATATTGCAAATCGCTCATCTTGGAAGAGCCTGAGGCACGTGATTTAAACTGACCTATGGGAGAAGAATATTCCTCGCCTGAGAAAGCGATGCGGCTTATGCCCCGTCACAGCCTCAAATCTCTGTAACATCGCCTCATCGATGCGCTCACTACCGAACTGCCCTGAAAAAAAGAGAAATGCAAAAAAAAAAAAAAGACAATGTTTTGAACACGTCAAACAAAGAATGATGTAGGCTGAATGCTAAATATTGACGTGTAATCTGACATATTGGTAACATCGCGTCGATCAATGCGTTCACTACCAAACTGGCGTGGAAAATGAGAAATGCAAACTCAATGTCGATGTTGTGTACCGATCAAGCAAAATCATTAGGCAGCCAGTCAACTTTAGAATTGATATATTATGTTGTTGTTTGAACAAAATGCTGTGGATATAGGCCTAATTAACTTATTATGTGTTATATTAGGAAAGCTCTTAACATGACTAATTCTACATAGACGTTGACGACAAATGAACGACAACATCATTGCACACCCAAATATCTACATCGACACCAGGTGGACTCCCCCCCCCCCCCATACACAAAAATCCCCATGTCTTATGTTAATACTCCCCCTTATGGAACGTTGAGGGAGCTAAATTCACAGAACGTTTTTCGCTTCTTCTGTACTCGCAGGAGGCTGGTTATTCAGTGGTAGAGCAGTGGTCTCGTACTCTGGAGGTTCCGGGTTCAAAACCCAAACTAAATAGATGCACTAATGCCTTTTTGGTAAAGGTTTAATCTCCAAGTCACTCGCAGAGGACTTAAAGCTGTCCCCTAATTCCTTTCTTAATTAGAAGTCAGGTAAAACAAACAAACAAACAAACAAACTTTGTTTTCATAAGTCGTCTCAGATCGCCATTAGGGATTTTTAGATTTACACGACGAGAGCGTAGACTACCGCGTGTGACATTGTGTTAAGGCACTGGGCCGTGCCCGGCAGTGCCTTAAAAGGACGCCACACTACCTTAAAAGGATGTCACACGTGGCGGTCCACGTTCTCGTCGTGTAAAGCTAAACGTCCCTATTACTTACTGATGAGCTTCTCATAGTCCACCCCTTTATCCGATGTGGTGACTACTTTCCATGGATCCACTATTTGTTCAGGCTCAGCGTCCTCAGACTCACGAAGCTTTTTCTTCTCTGCCATTATTTTTCTAATGAAAAAAGAAGAAAATAACGATAGTAATCGGACCTTTATAGCGACTTTTTAAGATGATACAAGGCGCTATCCCTTAGAATGAAGATTTATTAAGAATTTTATAGGTACATGTGCGTTCACAGACTTTTTCTTCTTTAAAGAAGTCAAGTGTTTAAGTACTATTTCTCAAAAATGCACAGAGTTAGTATTAATGTTCTGTGAATTATTCAAGTGTTTGCATGTCGAAGATGGAGAGATGACCTAGCATCATAAATGGGAACGGCTGCTTGGACTAGGATAGCTAGAGACAGAAGAGAATGGAAATGTTATGAGGAGGGCTTTGTCCAACATCTGGATGAACTTTAGCCTGATAGATAGATATATGTCAAACTATCTTACCTTTCCCCCTCTGCAATCTACTAAATCGACAATTCAACTTTTCTCAGACAACAGCGATTGAATCCCTGACGCGTACTGCTCGACGGTTTACCCGATACTGCGGCAGTAGTAATATGTCGAGGTTAAATATTAATGCATAATGTGAGGCACGCGTAAAAGATAATGCAACGATTCGTAAGAGCATACGCTTTAATATGTAACCAAGCAACTTATACTGCTACTAGTTCTATCACCACTGCTACTTCTACTTTGTTTTGGACGACGACTACTACTACTTCCACTACTACTACTACTACTACTACTACTACTACTACTACTACTACTACTTCTACTACTACTACTACTACTACTACTACTACTTCTACTACTACTACTACTACTACTACTACTACTACTACTTCTACTACTACTACTGATACTAATACTACTACTACTACTACTTCTAGTACTACTATTACTACTACTACTACTACTACTACAAGAACTACTACTACTACTACTACTACAACTAATACAAATACTACAAGCGAACATCGCTTAAGAGAGTTCAACCTTAAATTGCTGTACAACATACTACCTGTTAAAAAAAATCTTTACAAATAGAGATTAGCAGACGACAGATACTGTCCCAAGTGCCATGTCATAGAGGACATAGTGCATGTGTTTATCGAATGTGAACAGAATAAAAATTTCTTTGATTATATCAAACATGTTGTAAAGTACACTTTTAATATTGATTTTGTCATGAATATCTCCTGTTTACTTAAGATTAATATTGATAGCGAGATAGGCGTTGTAACAACGATCGCATTCTGGTGTATATACACAATGTTAGTCAACCGGAATAAGTATGGATTTAATGAAAACCGTTTCAAACTAAGATACGTATTTAAAAGGGAAATCAAAAAAAGAATTGTTGTAAGTCAGGAGCTTAAAAAGCCAGACCAGAGATTGCCAAAGAAACTGTTACAAGCACTTTAGATGAAAATATTGTATAGTTGAGAAAAAAAATATGTGATTTTATTGATAACATTGTGCGTCAATTGTATTTGTTCTCACAACTTTATTTTGATGTTAGAATGTAAACAAACACCTCATTAGAGGCACAAAAAAAATACAATTACTACTACTACTACTACTACTACTACTACTACTACTACTACTACTTCTACTACTACTACTACTACTACTACAACTAATACAATTACTTCTACAACTAATAGTAGTTCTACTACTACTACTGCTACTACTACTGCTACTACTACTACTACTACTTCTACTACTACTACTTCTAGTACTACTACTAATACTACTACTACTACTACCACTACTACTACTACTCTACTACAACTACTTTCCCTACTACTAGCAATGCTACAACTGCCACTACTGTGACTACTACGACTAGTGATGCTACTACCACTGCTACCGCTGCTTCAGTTGATGCTATTGCATCAACTACTATTTTTCTCCTTTTCTTATTCTTCTTCCCTTTTTGCTTGTTGTTGTTATTCTTCAATCTTATTTTTCTTCTTCCTCATATATTCTATTTTTTTCTTGTACTTAACCAAAATCACAATTAAATTACCACTTCATATACAACCCTAAAATTTTTAATTACTATTGTTCCTCTAATGTTAATCGTTTTCGATTTCCTTTCAGTTCTTAAATCCTTCGCATTAAACACCATTTTTAAGTAGTAATACTTTTGATTGATAACTTAACTGTTTGAATGTCGAACTATCTTACCTTTCCCCCTCTCCAATGTACTGAATTGACAGTTCAACGTCTCTCGTCCAAACTCAGACAACAGCGAGTGAATCCCTGTCGCGTACAGACTGCTCGACGGTTTCCCCGATACTGCCGCAGTAGTACTTTGTCGAGGTTGAATATTAATGCATATTGTGAGGCACGCGTAAAAGATGATGCAACGATTCGTCAGATCATGCGCTTTACAAGGTTACCCAACAGATTAGACTTAATACCACGTTTCAAAAGTTATTCTCAGTGAATACAAATTTAAACTGATTAACAAGAAAAATATGGTAAGATTAATTGGGTGGGTATTTACAAAATATCATGCGAAGCTTTAAAAACGAAAGTTGAGCCACTTGTATAAAAAGTAACAAATGATTTTTCATTAATCGTTAGAGATAAAGAACAAAAAAGGAGTCATCGTGGGAGGGGGGGGGGGCGGCAAAACATTTTCGTGATATAAATGTATACGTAAACGTCCCCCATCTCCTTCTTACACTGGTAAGAAGGAGGGGTACACCAGTGGCGGGCCCCTCCCCTGAGAAATCCTGGATCCGCGCCTGGGTTACACCACCGTTCATATTAGTAGTTATCGAAGGGTAGTGTTTGTAGTAGTAAATGTTGTAGTAGTAGACGTGGTATAATAGTGCTAATAGTGATAGTAGTAATAGTAGTAGTAGTAGTAGTAGTAGAAGTAGTAGTAGTAGTTGTAGAAGTAGTAGTAGTATTAGTAGTATTAGTAGTAGAAGTAGTAAGATTACTAGAGGTAGGAAAACTAGTAGTAGTGGTAGTTTCAGTAGTAGTATGAGTAGTAGAAATATTAGTATTTATAGTAAAGTAATGGTAGTAATTGAAGTAACCATAGTGGTAGTAGTAGTAGTAGTAGTAGTAGTAGTAGTAGTAGTAGTAGTAATAATAGTAGTAGTAGTAGTGGTAATAGTAATAGTAGTAGTAGTAGCAATATTTGTAGTAGTAGTAGTGGTAGTAGTAGTAGTAGTAGTAGTAGTAGTAGTAGTAAAAGTAGTAGTAGTAGTAGTAGAAGTAGTAGTAGTCTGGGCCTCGTCCAAACAGTCAATATTTATCTAAACTTAGGAGTCTGCTACTCCTTTACCAAACCAATCTCATCTTGAAATCAGAAGTTCAATCCGCCTTCCCGCACCCCGAGGGGTGAGATGCGATGGATGTGCGTGTGTTGGGGGAGGGGGGGGGGGGTGGAGCTCCCCTCAATACTTTGCACGTATCGGTATCCAGGCACCATCACCTCGTATAAAGGCAACTAGGTACTTGTAGTAATAGGTGAGGAATACATTATATTCTGTGTATTTCTCATAACGAAATATCAATTTTACCATCAAAATGAGGTTTACCTACTAAACGTTTACAAAAAATACTGCCTTGTCCAACCGCATCTTTTTGTGAATTTCATGTATGGATTGTGGTACCCGAAACAATCATTGAAACCGCATACCCCACTTCCCGCTGAACTTGTCTACGTAACTATACAAGCGAGGGAACAAAGCGGCTAGGGCATTCTTAAGGGAGCGCAGCTATCGGGCGGTATACTTATTAAGATTCTCACACCTCCCTATTAAGCAGTGAGATGAAGAGAAAAAATAACGAAAACTATGAATAAATACAGTCGAGGAATTTAGCAAGGTCACCAAAACGTGTGCCCCCAAAGCTTTTGAAAATGTCCGAATTCTAAACCCTTTAAAATTTGATTTCTATTGCATTTTATATTGCGTAGTGGGGCGTCCATAATTTCTATAATGGCCACATCATCAGATACGTTTCAAGTTTGGAGGGCGGTCTCCTGAACAAGTTTACTTAGCAACGCCCCGTTAGCGATACACAAACACACACACCCACACCCACACACACATACACACACACACACACAATGAACACCACGCTGACAAATAATGCCTTGCGTATGCTAGATATGTATTTAATTCCAAAGTATCATCAATCGCAGAGGTGTTTCAAACTTAAGGACGGAAAGACCCAACTGATGTTTGTGGCCATTGTTGGTAAGCCCTTGATACGATTTGATAAGGATTTCTGAAGTTTGTTATTAAATAGATATTTAAAAAATTACCGTAAATCGTAAACTAAAACTTGAAATTTGAATTCGAATATTCTTTATTGCACATGTTTTATATATAGATTTACGTTTTATATTGACGACGCAGTCAGCTAATTTTAAAGAATAATGTTTTTAATTTCTCTTCTATTTTGTAAAGAAGTTGATATTGAGAGAACTACAATGTAATAACCTTTTTACAAGTTTCCCATTTGCCATTATGTCTATGTCTATGTATATGTACATGGGATATTGCTTTCATTACATGTTATGCATCAAAAGGAGACACGACTTTTTACGGGGGTTTGTGGGGGTGGGGGCTTTACCATTAATTGTTACTCTTTATGTCACAGCGTCCACATTATATTGAGAGGCAAGAGAGAAAGAGAGAGCATTTGAGCTGCATAAGAATTAACAGTGAGAGAGAGAGAGATAATTGCTCAAGAAATGGAATAAACATGACATTTATTGATTTGATTTTTTCTTTCAATTTACATATGTTAACCTATATCTATCTGGCTCAGTTTGGGAAAATTGGACACATTAAAGTAACAATTACGCATCAATATCTAGTAAACCTGAAATTCTATTAAGCGATTCTGTGTGATTTCTGTGAAAGTTGGATTACCTGTAAATATGGGCTTATAAACACTACCTAAATTTCGTTCTTTTTTCACGCTGCTTATAGATCTGTCCATCGAAATACTTTTTATTGATTAAACATAAAATGTATGTTGTCATGCAACAAAGAGAAACGAACATTTCAGATAATGTGATGATTCAGTCACCAACATGAATTGGTGGCGTTTCACATGATGCGCATTTAAAGTTGAAAACGGACTGTACATGTAGTTTAAAAGTGTTCGTATACCGTACATGACAATTTTACAGGTATGAGCAATATTGGTCAACGGGCCACACATCGAAAAGGTCACACCCTGTTTAATAGACAACTCTGAAAATTAAGTTTACTTTTCAGTTAAATCTCAGAATGTAGGTTGTCCACTTGATTATGATAAAAATTCGAGTCATTTTGATTTTTTTCAAAAATCCGGTGCAATAGAAACGAAGCTTAAAAAAACTATATCTCTGAATGCCCACCCCTTACACAAAAACGTAATTTATCAATACAAAGACATAAAAACCAGCAGAAAAACTAACAGTATCGTATATGTCTGTTATGTACTATTCTCCGCTGTCACAATTTGCTAGATTTTTAATAAAGTTGGTGGTGGATGTGTCAACCATGGCCATTACCGATTTTATTTTTTCATGAATAACACATAGTTGTAATTGACCAAAAAATGTTAGGAACAAATTTAAGTGTCTACGTTTAAGTGATCTGAGCTTCACGTTCGTTTACAATCTACTCTCTGCCGATTCAGTAGTGTTTG